GGATATATGGGTGTTGGGGATATGGATGGGAGCTGTGGGGATGGGTGGGTGTTATGGGATGTGTGTTGGGGGATGGATGGGTGAAGGAATTGATGGGTGAATCCTGGGGAGTGATGGGTGTTTGTGTGCATCAGGGGTGGGTGTTGGGGGTTGTCAGGGGTGGGTGTTGGGGGTTGTCAGGGATGGGTGTTGGGGGTGTCAGGAGCCGGGGAAGATGGCTGGGTGGTTGTTTGGGTGTCAGGGGATGGCTAGAGGGCTGTTGGGCAGCAGCGGGTGGCTGGGTGGGCATGGTGCAGGGGTGCTGTGGGGACAGACGGACAGATGGGCGCTGGTCAGCCAGGCGCAGGGCGAGGTCTGGGTGCTTAAGCCATCCACCAGTGCCACCGAGGACCCCGAGGTGGGCATGGGGCAATGCCAGGGGTGCCAAAACCCCCTTTTGGGGGTGTCCAGAGGCCGGGGTGGTTTCTCCCAGGCATGGTGCGGCAGCCCTGGGGTAGGTTAGCTGGTCCCCGAGGCCTGACATTTATAAACATCAGCCGCTCCCAGAGAATCAATACAGTTTAATAACCGGCGAGCGGAGACGGGAGACACATCAAAATGACACTCTGCGGCTCCGTAAATGTTATTCTAAATCATACTCGCTGGGTTTATTACATTAAGCATACAGCAGCGGGCATGGGAAATTTATTCCATCAAAGGCCATTGCACTGGTAAATGGGACTGGTGGGTCAGTGGAGGGGGGGCAGCCCCCCCACCCCCCAAAAATGGGCTTTTCTCCTCCTGGACTTGGCAGGGATCTGGGGGATGAGGGGGTGTTGGTCCCACGGCTCTCTGTGCTGCCACAGGGTTTGGAGTGAACCAGATCCTGCCCCAGTGTTTGGCTTGGGGTGGGTGTTTGGGGGACCAGTGACAGGATGGGTGATGCGAGGGCAGCTGGGGTGGCTCTGTGTCCCTTGGTGCCACCCCACGGCTTCTGGGGACCCGGTCCCCTTCTTGGAGCATCCCCAGCTTAGCGCTGACATTTCTCCTCGCGTTTCCCTGGAGACGAGGCGGTTGCTGTGGAAACCTCCCTCCTCTTCTTCCTTTAACCATCTTCTTCCTCACCCTGAGGCAGGGAGGGGGGTAAGGGGAGGGGGGGCCTGCTGCTGCCCCCACCCAGCCCCTAAATTTGGTGACCCCCTCCAGGGGTGGGGGTACACAGCCGCGTGGGTGCTACAGCAGCACGCGTGTGTGTGTGCCCGAGCCGTGTATGTGTGCGCACACCTGCCCCATCATGCGTGACATCCCGCCGTTGCCGTGACGACCCCATCGAGCACATGGCTCCGGCTCTGCAGCATCGCGGGGGAAGCACGCTTGTTGCTGTGGAAACGGCCGTAATTGTAGCATTTTTCTGCTAAAAGAGGGGAAAAAGGAGGGGGAGAGAGGAGGAGAAATGGCTCCGTGGGGCAGCGGGCCAGGGACGTGTGCGCTGTCCCAATGTGTCGCGCTGCACATGCATGTCATGCTTGCGGGTACACGCAGCAGCGACGCATGAGAGAGGCTGAAATTGGGTGAGAATTGGGGAAAGGAGAGCAGTGGCGGTGCTGCTGAAGGGGCCAGGGCCGGCCGGGCGCTGCTGCCGCCTCTGCAGTCCTTTGCAGTCGAGGAAAGCGGGCAGGCGGCCAAGGCTGGCACCGGCGGCCCGGCGGGCGCCTGCGGCACCGGGTACCTGTCCCCAGGGCCGTAGCCTTGCTCCCCGCCTGTGGCATCCCCAGTTCAGCATGGCCACGAGCCCCAGCGCTGTTCTTACAGGTCCCTCCCCTGCTCCCCGCCCCAGCCCCCTGTGCCAGGCTGTGGCCAAATCCTGCTGTTCCCCATGGAAAGGGTTGGGGGGGGGGGAGCACGGCACCGCTTCTGACTGCCCGTTCCCACTTGTGTGTTGCAGATGAACCGCCCCATCCAGGTGAAGCCGGCCGACAGTGAGGGCCGAGGAGGTATGTCCCCCCTTCCCCATCTGCTCGGTGTGGGCAGGGGGGGCGCAGGGCCACCGGGGGGTGATGGGGGACACGGTGGCATCACGGGGGCTGCCGCCAGGAGGTTTGTTTGCAGAGAAACCCGCGAAGGGAGCTGCCTTTGCCGGTGGCATCCCAACCCGAGCGCAGAGCAGAGGCGATCTCGGCTCTCCCTGCCTGGGCAGCTGGGCGGACTGTCCTGATGTCGTGTCGAGAATGTCCTGACATCATGCTGAGGACATCCTGATGTCGTACCACAAGTGCCCCGACATCGTCCCAGGCAGGGTGCCAGCCAGCCACTCTCCAACAACCCCTTTGTTTGTCAAGCAACCTAATTACCTGCCCTCAGCTGCCCGTGGGGAGCCCGCTAGAGTCAGGGTGTAGGAGTCGGCCGCGCATGGCCCAAGCCTCTCTTGAACAGAAACTGCCACCCCCCCACTCCCCCAAAATCTCCATGGGCATTTGCAGCTGCAGCATTTCCAGGCTGAGTTGATCATTTGGGCAAAATGACAAGAACTGGATTAGAACCCTCCGACGTTCCTGGTGCTGTGACCAAGCACTGGGCTCGCTGGGCCCTCCGGGATGGTCGCATGGGGCTGCGTGCCCTCGGCAGGACAGCTGGGGTAGATAACCCCCCGTTCAAAACATGGTATTAAACGTGCTGCAAGCTGGTCCCGGCACGTCCCGAAGGAACCCGCCAAATAAATTACCCACTTACCAAGCGTAATTGGTGAAGGATTAAAAATCGATGCGCAAGCTCAGGCGCCCGGCTCTGGCCCCCTGGCCCAGGAGGCGATGCTGGGCCGACAAGCCCACTGCCCCGGCTGCATTCACTGGGAGATGGTTTATGTTTAACTAGACAACACACAAGCCCTATTCCCTTAACTAATTTTCTTGGTACCTTAACAGACAGAGCATTAATCGTCTCCTGCCATTATTTATTTATTTCCCCAGCAACGCTCTTGACAGGGCACCTTATTTTCTTTGTCAAATGCCATTAGCGCGCGGCGGGAGCGCGCGGCCGCGCAAGACAGATGCTGGTAATAATAATGAAATTCTCATTATTTACTCTCCCTTCTCTCGTGTTTGGGTTATTTATGTCCCCTGGGCATGGCCGGAGGCTGTGGGTTATTCTGCGAGTCAATTGTACGCAGGCAATCGCCGCTGTTTTGCGGGCTCTTTGTTTCCCAGCCACATCCCACATCTGTGCCAGGGGAGCCAGCTCCTCCATCCCTGGGAAAAGCCCCAGCCCCCGTCCCTGGAGTGGGAACCCTTCCCGGCTTCACCCCTCAGCAATTTCACTGCAGGAGAGATTTTACCACCCCAAGCATTTTGTAGGATGGAAGTGATAAACGCTGTGTCTTCACCACTGGCTCGGCATTGCTCCCTCCCCAGGCTCCGGTGTTACCTGGCTCTTTCCCCACCCCCAGCCCCCCCGCACGTTGTTTGCAAACCATGGATGAGGGGATGGGACGGTGAGTGACATCCTGCTCTCCGACAGGCTTGGTTTTGTTTTTAGAAGACAGGAAGCTCTTTGTGGGCATGCTGGGGAAGCAGCAGAGCGAGGATGACGTCCGGCGCCTCTTCGAACCTTTTGGCCAGATTGAGGAGTGCACTATCCTCCGAGGGCCTGATGGAGCCAGCAAAGGTGGGCGCGGGGAGCTGGGTGAGCACCCTGTGGGCTGCCAACACCCAGGGAGGGCGGGAGCCGCCAGCCAGGCCACACTGGGTCCCGCAGCGGCCAAATCTAACCTCTTCCGTGTCCCCTCTCTGCCGTTAGGTTGTGCCTTTGTGAAGTACGGCAGCCACGCCGAGGCGCAGGCTGCCATCAACAGCCTCCACGGCAGCCAAACCATGCCGGTAAGTGCCAGGCTCACGCCCTGCCCCATTCGACCCCATGCTGCCTGCGTAATCCAATCACCAGCTAATTTGATCCTCTCTTTAATTGGATCAAAATCCTACAGACTGGCAATTTGTTGGCCGGATCACCCCAAGGTTCATCCTGCCTGGGCGCTGAGCCCCGGGGGTGCGTGTGCAGGGCTAAATCCCTCCACGCTGGAGAAAGGGGCTGTTTAATTAACGCCGAAGGTCAAAACTGTGAATGAGGAGAGGAAAAAGGAAACGGAGGTCAGGGAGCTGCCGCCGGGGAGCAAAACCAGCTATAATTAAACCTCGCATCGATCGCTGGTTGCTGCTGCCAAGCCGGGCAGCATCCCGGGGGCCGAGGACGCGGCGGCTGCTGCAAGCAGCCTGGAGCGGGAAGACATTTCAGGGGCGTTGCCGGAGTCCCACCATCAACCCCATCTTTCCCCCGCCCCAGGGCGCCTCGTCCAGCCTGGTGGTGAAGTTTGCAGACACAGACAAGGAAAGGACCCTGCGGCGGATGCATCAGATGGCAGGGCAGCTGGGCATCTTCAATCCCATGACCATCCAGTTTGGCGCCTACGGGGCCTATACGCAAGCGGTAGGAGCTTGGCACCGGCTGGGACCTGGGGGTTTTGGGGGAACCCCATGGGACGGAGGGGCTGGTGTCCCCTGTGAAAGCAGTGTTTGATTGTCTCAGTGCCAGTGGGTGTGGATGACTGTCAGGGTTGGTGTATCCCCATTTTGGGGCAACAGCAGAGGGCTTCACCCCCCCCCCGGGTGAGAGTGCCATGGCTGTAGGGTGCAGCAGACCTTTTTTAGAGTCACCTAGACCTCCTCCTGTCCCCGGGTCCGGCAGTGGGTGGCGTTTATCCCTCTGAGCCCTTGTGCATAGGTGCAAAGGGAGGATGCTAATTTATTCTCCCCCGCTCCCCACTTCTCTCTGCCTCTCTCGTGCTTTCCCCTTTTCCCCCCTTTCTTTCCTTAAGATCATGCAGCAGCAGGCAGCCCTGATGGCGGCTGCGCAGGGGACCTGCCTGAACCCCATGGCCGCCATCGCCGCCGCCCAGATGCAGCAAATGGCTGCCTTCAACGTCAGCGGGCTGGTGGCCGCCCCCCTCACCCCCTCTTCAGGTACGACACCCCCCCTTCCGTTTGCCCCCCATCCTGCTCAGCAAGCTCCGGGGGGTGGGGGGGGCTGCAGGTGCTGACACTTCTCTCTCGCAGGTACAAGCACCCCCCCTGGCATCAGCACGGCGCCCGTGCCCAGCATCGCCACGCCAATCGGGGTCAACGGCTTCAGCCCGCTGCCACCACAGACCAACGGGCAGCCCGCCTCAGAGACCATCTACACCAACGGCATCCACCCCTACCCAGGTAAGGACACTCCTCACAGCCCACCGGGGGCTCCACCACAACTCCCGGGGTGGGGGGCATGTGCTCAGCTCACGCAGCCGGCGCCGGGGATGCTCCTCACCCCAGGTGGGTGACCCAGCTCTGTGCCTATCCCCACTGAAACCCCCACTCCGGTGGCATCACCACCTGGGCAAGCAGGACGATGCTCTCGGCTCCAACAAAACTTTAGAGACATGGATAGATCAGGTCGGTGGCCAACGTTAAGAGGATGGGCTTCAACAAGCCAAGTGCCAGGTCCTGCCCTGCATGGCTACAGGCTTGGGGAGGGGTGGCTGGAGCTGTCTGGGAGAGAGGGATCTGGGGGTTCTAATGGACAAGCAGCCGAACATGAGCCAGCAGTGTGCCTGCGTGGCCAAGGAAGCCAGCGGCATCCTGGCTTGTGTCAGCACTAGTGTGAGCAGCAGGAGCAGGGAGGTGACTGTTCCCCTGTGCTCGGCACTGGTGAGGCCACACCTGGAGGGTTGTGTCCAGGTTGGGCACCTCAACACGAGAGAGATCTCGAGGGGCTGGAGCGAGGGCAGAGGAGGGCAACGAGGCTGGGGAAGGGCCTGGAGAGTAAATCCTGTGAGGAGCCATGGAAGGAGCTGGGGGTGTTCAGTGTGAGGAGGAGGAGGCTGAGGGGAGAGAGACCTCATCACTCTCTGCAGCTCCTGAAAGGACATTGCAGAGAGGCTGGGGCTGGGCTCTGCTCCCAGGGAATCAGGGACAGAGCAAGAGGGAACAGCTGGAAACTGCAACAGGGGAGGGTCAGGCTGGACATGAGGAAAACATGTTTCCCTTAAACAGTGGTCAGAGAGTGGAACAGGCTGCCCAGGGAGGGTGGAGTCCCCATCCTTGGGGTGTTTAAGGGTCGTTTGGATGAGCTGTGGGGGGATGTGGGGTAGGGGAGAACTTTGTAGACTCGGGCTGAGGGTTGGACTCGATGATCCCAAGGGGCTTTTCCAACCTGAACGATTCTGGGATTCTGTGAGAAATGGCAGGAAGCAGCCCTGCCCCTCCACAGCGGCGCTCGGCCAAGAGCCCTCTCACATGGGAGCTGCTCATCCCTGGGTTTCTCTTGCTTATTCTCCCTTCTCCCTTCTTTTCTCTTCCCAGCTCAAAGCCCCACGGTGGCAGATCCCCTCCAGCAAGCCTACGCAGGCATGCAGCACTATGCAGGTCTCGACCTTTGCTTTGCACTTCTTCCCTCTCTCCCCTCCTTGCTCCTCACCTTTATTTTTGGGGGGTTCTCATCACCTTGGGGTTGAACTACAGGCCTGGGGCAGCATGCTTGGGCATGGATTACTGTGGTGAGCACGGGGTGCCGTGCCCTGGAAGGAGCTCCGGGGCACCGGTGGGGTTGGCACCGATGCAAAGCACCATCCCCTCATCCCCAGCAGCACGGATGTGCCTCTGACACAGTCCTCCCTGCAGATTGTGGATGGAGAAAGTGAGTTTTAATGCCCATGGGGCTGAGATAACTCCATGGGGGAGAGCTAGGAGAGGGAGCAAGGTTTGAGCAGCGATGGAGAGCCGGCTCCATGCCAGATCCTGCCGACACACCAGCCTGCTCGTAGATGGCCACAGAGGTACCAAGACATCCCAAATCCGTGGATGTTCATCGCGTGGCTGAATCTGATGGCCAAGGACATGGGTGACAGAGAGAAGGGACTCAAAGCATCCTGTGGACGTGTGTCGAACCTGGCAGTCATTTAATTAGGGCCACTAACAGCAATTTTCAGATTTTCAATGAAAAATCAAGTTTTGGACCCTGAATTGTTGGGTTTTTTTCAACCAAAAGCTCTGGCTTTCCTCAACCTTGAGGCCATATTACTGCTGCCACCAACGTTCCTCCTGGGAGAGCCGTTCCCACATCCCTGGCATGCCGGGCAGCCAGAGCTGTGTGTGCAGGGTGGGAAGGGCAGAGCCAGCAGCGCTGGGGCAGGAGAGGCACTTCCGTCAAGGGTGGCACTGGGGGACATCTCCGTCCCCAGAGTGGCTGTGGGGGGTCTCAGCGCCACGTTTCTCTCTTCCAGCAGCGTATCCCACTGCCTACGCTCCCATCAGCCAAGCCTTTCCCCAGCAAGCACCCATCATCCCGCAGCAGCAGCGAGAAGGTGAGGGGTTGGGGGGGGCCCTCCGCCATGGGGCCTGTGGCTTCTTGCTCCACACCCCCCCC